ACTTAACTAGCAGCATCGGTTTCAGGCTAAGATGAGACACGATGTACGAGCCTTCTGACAAGGGGGCTGGCTCCGCTCATTTAATTGCGGTTGCTGCTCCTATGATGTGGAAACCTGTCTATTAGAAAACACATTTCGCAGGTGACTAAACAGCCATCAGATGGTAACAACTTTCATTTGTTACTGACCTCCCTTCCCTGCCGCACTGTAAGGGTGAATGGCCTGATATCCCATTGTCAGACCAGAGCAAAATGCCTCCTGCTTTGCATAGTGTATTATAAAATACCTTCAACATTTTTCAGATTGTGTCGAAACAGCACTTTTAACTAGCATTTTCTCATCTAGGCATCAACCTCATAGAAAAATGTCAAATTTTTCACTACTCCATTATGTAATGTTTGAGGGCATTTTGGACCATGACTGTAGAGCACATCACTACATTTTTACACACAGAAGGTTTTACTCAGGTCCCCGTCCTTCAAACAGAACATCATGGGCCAAAGAGACTTGGTATTTCATAGAGATAGGACCACAGCCTGTGCTGAGAAACTAATATAACAGTGACTAGACTAAAACTAGTCCTTCCAGTGATGGACTGAAAGGCAACTCCGCTACCAAAATCAAACACAGAACTGAGAAGAGCTACTTTAAACTGAGGATCCTATAAAGAGACCTCATCAAATTTTATACCTTCCCAGACCTTTGACTCCACCAATGAAAGAACGAATTCAGAAAGCCACATAACAAACCCATCTCACTAAGCCCTCTCCATCTGGTTGGCCACATATCTTCCAGCCAGACAGATACATATCACATGGGAAGAAGAAACTTTCCATGGTGAAATGCCATTTGGTTGTTATAAAGATTTTGTGTTCAGTCCTCAGAGCACTCACAGTCATTTCACAACCCTAGCTATAGAACGCCTTACTCTCGGATAGCATTCATACAACTTAATACAATAAACAGTGGAGTGTACAAAACCTGTGGTGAATCCTTTTCTGATGACAATCGCAGAACTATGCAATGAATAACATTTACTTTTCACAGCAACACACACATGACCAGCTGCATGGCCACATCTCCAATGAGATAATCAGCAATCCAGGCCACCACACCCCAGAGCCTAGCTCTGTGACACTTCCCCACCCTCTAGCCAACTCCAGCAGCATGGAAGAACTGGCCTCTCCAAAGTGACTGTTGTCGAAGAGGGCTTTGAAGGTCTGCAGACCAACAAGGTCTGTCACAGCATCTGTCAGGAGTAAGGTCAAGGACCCTCATCAAGAATACTGACAACAGCTCTCTACATTTAACCCTTAAAGTGTTTATCTTTCTGGAAAGAGACAATCTCTGAAAAAAAGCATACAGCAAGCAGAATGATTTTGGCTACTTTCCCCTCAAGGCCAACTACTGAAGCACTGTTTCTAGTCTATGTAAAATTTTCAGACCAGATAAAAACAAGTTTGAATATCTTTTGATATTTTGAATTGCTTTTTTCAGAAGTGTTACTGATCAAGCAAATCAGTTTTCTATGGTTGCTCCTTAGAAAAGACTGGATCTAAAATACAAAATGTTCATAAACCCAATAACAAATATCAAGGTTTTTGTATTATTTTCAGGTATAATATGGTAGTTGTAGTCAGCTTTTCATATGATCTTGCACTCTAAATATGTCACTGTGAGTTCTAATGGAGGAAGATGGCACTTAATATGAAATTAGTATATGTGATTAAGCACATGAAGAGGGGTTTGCTGTATCTGAACCCTTTATTGTAAATTCTTTGTGGTGCAAATTTCAGCCTGTGGCACTCCTTTTACACTCTTAGCATCATTTTCAAGACATACAGTCTCACTGAAAAAAATACTCTTAAATTCAGTAACCAATTAAAAACCTTCAGAAAAAAATATTAAAACTTTCCTATTTGTGTCATGGACTGGTTAGTACCTAAATACAAATATGAATTACAAAATTTTAAGGAAGCTCAAAACAAATTAACATATGAATGGCATGCAGAACAATTGCTCTGAATTACTACCAGCAAAATCAAAACTCAACTGCTTTTAGTTATGCAAATTGGAAATGTAGTGGCGGGACTGCAAAGGAGAGCCTAAGAAGTGCAAAGTTCAGGGAAAAGCCATGCATGCAGCTGCTCCAAAAATAACCATGGTCAGATAAAAGTCTGAAAGCAATTATTTGGGGTGAATATTGTACACAGGCCACTGCACTAAGCTTCTATAATTAAACAAGGCAAAAGTTCAGATGGTGCCTAATAAGCCATTTACTACATTAATTATATTCAAGTGTGGCAGTCTAATGCTTGGTAATAACTAACAACAAGGGAAATAATTTAAAGAAAGTATCTGATGATGTAAATTTCTTTCTTTTTCATTCATCAGTACCAGTGTTGCCAGTCAGCCTTTCTAACACACTTCAAACACATGAAAGGGATACTGCTTAATGTCAGGAAGAGCTATTTAAGGGTTGTAAACCTTTATGCTGAGGAAACCAACAGTCTTACTCAACAAAATGATTTCTACACTGCAAAGGTAGTAGCAAAATCAGATTTTCCATTCCTTGAATCAAGACCCAAAGTTCCAGTGCCACAGGGGCAACCAATTTCTTTTTTTTAGCAACAACAGCATCTCAACAGACCTTTGCAGATCAACAGATTTCCCACTGACCCTATTTCCTGGATTTGCCTTCACACTGATCACACAGTCTTTGTACGCATCTGTGATTTTAATAGTATTTGCAGCAATTTCTTAACAAGATAATTAATATTAGAGAGGTATTTAATATATTTTGGCTTCTTTTAATGCCATTAGTAGCTAAATACATGAAAAATGAGCCTATACCATATGCCCAAGTACTTCTCTGTAGACCACTAGCCAATTCCTTAGCAAATACAGAGAAGTTTCCAAAACGCAATCTGAAATTTACTGCAGAGAGATTTGCTTACTATTTCTGATGGACCAGTAGCATTCCAACAACTTATGTCAAATCCAGCATGCTCCAATAGTATATGCAGTAACTAGCACACACAGTATCAATTCACAATGCAGTTGTTAGGATGCTACCAACAGGATACTGTTCTATCTCATTTCACTAATCTGCAATAGAAAAATATCATTCTGAGGTGTTACAATTATTTTCTACTTTGTTTTCTTAATTTTAAATCAGGAAACAGTCTCTTCAGATTTTATTTATGCATAACTCTACGATTAACCTAAGAGTGCATAGAACAATCATTTTTCAGATTTCAAAGGATAAGAGATAAGGTGAACATACAACTTTATCCATTATGTCTTCCCACTGGGATGTTTACATATGAAACTCTAACATTCCTTTAGGCTACTTTTATAAACTTTTTCTAACACTTTCCCTATTGTTTGGCCTTTCTTTTCATTTCCTCTGTAGAAAATACATCACAAAACATAGATGTAGAGGTCTGTAACCTTGCAACAAACCTCTAACACTTTGTGTACACCCTCCAACTCTGAACGTGCAGTATGGACAATGCTGGGAAATCCTGTCCTCTGCCCAGATGAAGTGCAGAACAGAAAAGAGTTCTCTGACTACCACACCAAGAGTTGTAGAGGTCCTAAATACCATCAGAGAAGACTTTTGTCTACGAATAGTTTGAAGTCTTCACTTGCAAAATCTCAAATCGAGCACTTCCACAGCAAATTGCAAGAGGAGCCCTGCCTCCTACAGCAGAGGTGTCTGCAAAGACATCTCTTTGTTGTCAGCTGCAGAAATCAGTGCTGAACGTCCTTGGGTTTGAATACATAGACAGGACGTCACCTCCAGACCCTTTATCACAGCTTCTCATTCAGCAAATATAGCACATCTTTTCCCAATAGTGCAGCGTTTGGTTTTAGCAAGCCACACACAAAACCAGCAGGCAACTACGGCAGGATTTCAAGCAGTATTTTAATCAGAAATGCACATAAAAGAAAAATACCTCTACACTATAGTTTGAATTTATTAAAATAATAAATCCCCCTCCTTAAAAAAAACACAAAAAACTCACTGCAAGAACTTCATCTTTAAATGGAAAAAATGTAGTAATTCTTTCCCCATATCCAACAGTCCCACACTATCAAAACCAGCTGAATTACTTTCGCATGAGTTTTCCAAACAACAACAACAAAAAGATGCATACATACATATATAAGTATTAAAATTACCTGGATGCATACACCATGCCTGAAAAGTTTCATTGCAAAAGGGTTAAAGTTCAGAAAGTTTGCAAGACTGAAAAAGGAAAATCAGATTGAAAAATGTGCAAAAACCACGACTGTGAGCTTTGTCGCTGCCTCCTGCCTTAACAGTTCCCTACACGTGAAGAAATGAGATGACTAAACCTTACTCCAAGGGATCACCTAAATTACTTGAATGAGTAACCCAATCAAATTTTTTCTAGTACCAAATGAAACACATTGCCATGACAAAATAAACTAAAAATGGTACAGTTGAGTACTAGAGATGATAACATTACCGATAAAATATAGAAAGAGACCACAAAAGTGATCTACACTGCTTATTAGAGGTGAATTCGCCGAGATTTTTTTTTCTTCTGAGAATACTGATTTTTATATGCTAACACAGCTGCCTAACCATTGATAAGAGCAATCTGCAAGAGCAAATAGAGAACTAACAGAACAGCCTTGAAAAGCAACCACAGAAAAGGGTCTCATTTAAATTCCTGGAAAGCACTGCTTCTCTAAACGTATCTATTCAAGCCCTCTTGAGAAGGCGAACCCTCCTAAAACACACCCCGCACGCTCCCCGCCTGAAATCTGTGAAGGCAAGAAGCCACTAAGCTATGCCACTGAGAACCCATGTGGCTTCACCTACAGGATTTTCCTCCCCGCAAACGCTGCACAGTAGAAATCCTCCCCTTCACCACCACCACCGGCCGCCCCCCGCCAAAAAAAAAAAAAAAAAAAAAAAAAAAAAGAGAGAGAAGTGCTCTCGGCCAGGGGGTGCCACTACGTACCGCCGGGCGCTCAGGGCTCTCTGGGGGCCCTGCCCCCCGAGGTGCAGTAGCCGGGGCGGCGCGGGCGCTCCTCCTCGCCGCGTCCCACGCGGTGCCGCTCCCCCCGCATGGTGGTGGCCGCCGCACGCACAAAGCGCAGGGCGCGGGCACCGCCGGGGGCGGGCGGCACCGCGGCTCCCGCCGGATCGCAAGCAGCACCGGCGCCGGGAGGTGACACGGGCGGCGCGCGGCTCGCAGCAGCTCAGCGCGGCGCAGCTCAGCTCGGCTCGGCTCGGCTCGGCTCGGCACGGCACCGCCCCCACCCCGCGGGCGCTGCCCTCCCCCGGGAGCCACCGCCCGCCGGGGCCGCCCCCCACACGCGGCCGAGCGTTCCCCGCGCTGCCGCCCGGCCCCTCCCGGGATGGGGGTGCCCCCGCCCCCGGTACCTCGCGGGCGGGGCCGGGCCCTACTACGGGGGGGGGCGGGAGCTTGCGCGGGTTGACGGGCGGAGGGGGCCGGGACCGCGGAGGGGCGGGCATGCTGGGGCTGCCCCGGGGCCGTGCCGCGCTCTCTTGGTTCATTGTTCGAGAAGGGCAGCGGCGGCCGGGGCGGCCCCGGGAGGAGGGGCGGGCGCTGCGGCGGGAGGGGGCCACCCGGGCGGCGGGGGGAGCGCCGCACCTTCCTCCGCACGGGCAGGGGCTTGGCGGCAGCGCTGCATCTTCCCCCCGTGGGGGAGTGTGTGGGGCCGGCGGCGGCGGGGCATCTTCCCCCGCGCCGGCCAGGGACGGATGGGATGCGCGGGGATGGGGCGCCGGCGTTGCACCTTCCCCGCTGTGGTGTGGCGGGGCTGGGGGACCGCGCTGCACCTTCAGGGCCCTGTGCTGGAGAAGTTCAAAGCGGCACGGGAGGGTGGGAGGTGCGTGGGCTGGGGCCGGGCCGGCTGCCTCTTCGCCTTGTCCCCGTGTCCCTGGCCTGCCGAGCGCGGGGAGCGCCGCGGGGCTTCGGCATCGGGACCCCGGCGGGTCCGGCCGAGGGCGCGAGGGTTCTCTGTGGCCGTTCCGGAAAGTTGAAGACATGGTCCTTTATTCAGCCCTTCCTCGTGAGCCGGGGCGGTGGGACTCCCGCAGCTATACAGTGTGGAAGCGCCGCAGCCAGCTTTGGCTTTTTAAGATTAGGCTCCGTTAATTAAAGAAATATTTTAAGCTTAAAGGTCTCCTGAGAAGAAACATATTAACTCGCTCATGAAGCGGGTAGAAAAACAATGTGATGTAGGGCTGTTGGATCAGCGATCACAAAGAAAAGGAGAGATCAGAGAGATGCTACCGGAGCTGCGGTAAATGCTCACTCGCGCCGCCGGACCCACATGGCACTAATCGATCCAGTGCAGTTTCCAGTGTCTGTCCAGCGGCACAGGAAAAGAGAAATGTTTGCAGTGCAGTCGTTGTTATCCTTTCTAAGCTTGCTGAACTGCTAAAAGTACCTTAAAACATATTTTACTCTTTGTTCAAATTTAATTGTTGTTTACTTTGCAAATAGTCTAAGTAAGTCTTCGCTTACAAATTATTGGGGTAATGACAGATGACCTTTTTTTTGTGCTGAATCTATGCTCTAAGATAAGCATCTGTGTAAATGCATCTGAGACTGTAGTTTCTTTGTGCCCATATTTGTAAAGTGTAAGATGATCGGAACAGCATGCCTGCAAAAGGCACGCCTTCAAAGCTGTGAAACAAGTGTCGAAATAAAAGCCATTATAGCTAAAGGAAAAAAGGTGCAATTTGCTAAATTAAGAGGTAACATCACAAGGATGTGAAAGACAAAACACAATCAAAAATAGGTTAACAGTTTAAAAACTATGATTGTTGTGATAACACTTCATACCAAAAGCAAATAATGATTGTAAATCCCAGAGTTCATCTACTTACTTCCCTTTAATTGAGGAGTTTCATGAATTGCAAAGCAATTAATGAATAAAAATAGCATATTTTCCCCTCAGTCTAGGACATTGCAAAAATAAATTTCAAATCTAGAGCTAATTTCAAAAATATAAAAATCCTCATCAGTGTGATACGATGTGATGCAAATGGGTTGTCTTACATACATAAAGACAACAAAAATTCTATTGAGAGTCACTGTGATGTATATATATCCACAAATTGGTTCGATGGGAACACTGCTGCTTGAGGGGTAGTCCTGTATAGCATTCATTCAAAAATCTACATTTATAAACAAAATTAGCAATTAAGGGATGGATATTTTCCCAGTATTTTTTTTTTTGCCCAGACTTGCTGCCTATAAAATGATATTATATTATATTGTACGCTGGCTCATACAATAAGCACGTGTTTGAAGAAGGAAAGTGAAAGGCGGATACTGCTAATTCGATTTTTAAAAATTATTTAATTACATTTAAAGTAAGAATCTAAATCTGTACAACTCTACAGACATACCCATCTGTTACTATTTTAAAATGTGCTGTTCTTTAGTAGGTTTATTTTAATATACCAGTGAAATAGATCTTCACTTTGGAATAAGATGTAAATGAATAGCATAAATTAAGTGAATATTACAGGGAACCTGGTAACACTAATATATTCTACGTGGGAATCTGAGATAGTTTAAACACAATATCAGGAAAGCTTGTCACTTGAAGACTTCCCTTTTTTTCAGCAAAGCATTTACAGAATGGGCAGTTGGATTGGTGACAAATAACATTGGTTGAGCACAATTTTTATTGACTGCAGTGGGAGTCTCCCCAACACATGTAAATGTAAAATTTATCTGCAGAAGGCAGGAGGAGTTAGTCTGCAATCCAATAAGGTTTGCTTCAGCCTTTTACATTCTGCATTTGGCTTAGACTCTGAACTCCATAATGGAAGAACTCTGCATCCTGTTTATTTCCAACCATTGGCCTGATTCTGCCTTCAATTTCGGCAGAGCAATAAAGAACAGCTTCTCTGGAAGCCAGAAAGTAAATTGGGATAAGGTCTGTGAGATCGACATTAGGCCCCCATGATGTGAGAGCAGCCTGGGGAAGGATTTGAGATCAGAGGACAAAGTAATTGATGGCGAGTCCACAATGGTAAAGAATTTACTTTCACACATTCACAGCTTGAAGAATTTGTCTGTTATATAAATTGATAGCAATAGGGTAAAGTTACACACGGTAGCTGTTGCTTTGTTATTGAGTTTGACGACTGATATAGATGCATCTGTCACTTTGGTTTGTTACTGTGTTAGAGCAGTGCATATAAATAAAGGGGATAAATAACCTAATTTACTATGAGCAAGAGTCACAGTATATTAAAAATGGTGACACAGGGAAAGCTCTTGCCTCTCCTGGAAAAAGTTTTATAACAGATCTTTGTAGTCATCATTTAAACTGGCAGGTACAGCACGCAAAGATCCTAAAAGCCCAAACAAATGCTTATTTAACCTTTTCAAAATATATTCTTGGCTAATATGACTCCAGTGATGGAAAGGGGAATTTTTCCATTGACTTTACCAAAGCTGAATTTCATCCAAGTAATTGCAATTTTATTTCAGAACTATTTTGGTTTTGAACAAAAGAAGTGCTGTTAAGCTTACATGAATTAGTAAGCATGGGTTACCTGCAAATTGTGCATCTCCCACTACTTATGGTTCCCTGAGATATTTTTCTGCTATTACTCCTGAAGGGAACATGTTGGGTGGATTACCACTGTCTTTCTGCAAACCCTCAAACAGCTTGGGGAAGTGCGCTTTCCCTGCTTGGGGCAGGGAAGGAGGGAGAATGCTTCAGCCTGGTGCCTTCAGCACCTCGTGAGGCAGTGAATCTTCTGGTTCTTCAGCAGTGCTGCCTCTTGGTAAGGCTCTTTTGGCTGGGCATTCCTGTCCTGCTGCATCCAGAGGCACCTGCAGTTATCACCTGCCATGGTTCTTGTTAGTGCTGATCTGCCTTTTGTTTCTAGTCATCAAGCAGATTTTTAATAAGCTTTATTAGAGCTTTTATTTAAGCTGGAGATACTGTTGTTGGTTCTGCACACATCAGATGCATTTCAGTGTCGCAGTTCTTCAGCTGCTGATATGGATTTAGGATCGGAGCCTATAGACCTCAATTAACAGCTCTCCCTTAGGAGAGAGAGTGGCCTGGTTTCTTTTTCTCATACCTTCTCATGGCAGACAATTGGCAGAATTGCCTTCTCTCCAAAGTCAGATGTGTCTTTTCCCTTCAGAAACATCTTGACAAAATTCTCCTGGATTCAGTGGTGAGGTGGTTTAGTTTCAGATGCCTATGTAGATTTGGCTGGGCTCACAGGGCTTGTTGCATCCTGGCTGACAGGTACCGGTGTGTGCGTGTACAAAGAGTTTCCAAGGACTCTTTTTGCTTGCATAGAACTGACAGGGGAAAAAAGAAGAGAAGAATGTTTACCAGCATGGCATAGATAATCTCAGGAAGAATTCCATGTGTATCCTGTTCCATGTGTGTCTGAAGAGCCAGCCCAGTTGCTGTCTAGTGTTAGTTGTGTCTTGGCAAGGTGCAATAGGAAACACAATGAATTATGAATCCAGAGTGTGCACCAAGTGTGAGCTGTACTGCCTCTGAAGCAGCCCTGGGACTCAGATATAATGTACGCAATTTCTTTCTAGTTTTCTCTGGTCTTGTGGGAAAGTGCTAACTTACTGCTGACCTGACATGTGTTAATAAGTGATTCTTATCCTTCAGTGCTGTTTTAAATGTGGAACCTGATAAGCAGAGTCACAGCCTATTCTTTTCTTTCCTCTCCCTAATATTTGCCTTATGAAGGAAGCATGGACTTCCACATCTATAGCATGAACTTTGAACCACACCCAGGTCACCTGTCCATTTACTCCCTTGCACATGCAAGTCTCCTCATGATCCTTGTCAAGAATTCAGATTCATGAGAAACAGTAAAGTGCTGGAAGGAGAAGACAAAGGTACAGGATCTACTTCAGCTTGGATTTTTCTGCCAGTTGTCATATTACTGCACTAGTCATCCTCAAGCTGTGAAAAAGGGTGGTCTTAAGCTGCATTTGTAAAACACGTGAGTAACAGGGTCAGGACTTCAACATGAGCAGGGCTGGGAGC